AGGTTAACAACACATCCCTTCGATTCGAGCGTTAGAATACATTTTGAGCGTCCTCCCAGTACGAACATGAGCCATCTCGTACTAAGGTAGGGATAAATGCAAGTACGATGTGCACTATAGTGTTATTGTGACCTAGCATTGACTCCATCCGTGGTTGTGCTGCATATGGATAAAAGTGCTTCCATAGTACCTTTATACAAACGGCCAAGAGTGTGCTGAAACATGGACACAGCCAGCCATGTGGCTGGTTCCGAAGATTTGTTCCCGGTAACCAGTTCCTGATTCGAGTTTTCCAGGAAGCAGGAACCAGTTTAGTATCAGGCCGGAGATTGAGCAGTAACCGACAGAACTATACCGATGAAGTCATCGCGAGCCTCTACTCATCTTAACACCTAGCCGAGAGATCTCACGAGACTCGAGGTCCGGCCGGGGATATATACGGGGATCTGGCAAAAGCCAAGACACAGTCTGGGATTATGTCAAGGGATCTAGCAGGAACCAGGATTTAGTCTGGAATAGGTCAAGAGGTCCAACGGGAATCAGGATCGCATAGGACATTACGTGGATGATCCTGAAAGAGCTGACTTAATTAGTCACCGGATACTGTTTAGAATAGACAGGACACCGAACCACAAAACTATCTTCGAACCAATAACACGATAGCACAATATCGCGCATCGAAGCATGCGACATTAGTACAGACATCTGCACTTTTGAGCACCCGTGTAGTGCAAACCGGAATCATTAGCTAACCTGTCATCACAGCACCTTGGACAGCCTTGGGACCAAGCATAACGTGTCGCGATGTCAATGACAGTACCTAGGGTCACAAGGACTGAGGGACAAACTGACATTAGCTATCCTGTCATCACAGCACCTTGGACAGCCTTGGGACCAAGCATAACGTGTCGCAATGCCAACGACAGTTCCTAGAGTCGCTAAGACTGAGGGGCAAACTGACAGACGTACACGGAGAGGGGAGGGGGGGTGCACGCGATGACGGATCAAACCCGCTGGTCTGCCGCCCCCCCCCCTCTATTCGGATTTTGGAAAGACCCCGGGTTCGGCGGGTCTTATGTAAAGGTTGAGGGGGGCACGCGTGTCGCCCCTTGGCGACACCTGCTGCTAGAGCCCAGGCACGGGCCTGCATCTAAAATTCGGAGTACGACTCCGAGTCCAAGCCACAATGAGCGCGAGTCCTAGTCCCGAGTTCGCCCCTCACAGGTTACATGGGCTCAAGCTCGTGTCCAGAGGTCCTGGGTCCGGGTTCATTACTTTTTAGCGCACATAGGATTTACACGAAGTCCAAGCCCCGAGGCCTGGGATCCGACTCCATCATCCCCTACGGGGAATCGCAGGAGATACATTTTCCGTAATAACAATCGTCAGCGGTAAAAACCATAAATGCCGTACTCTAACATCTAACTTAACTCACCTCTTATCTGACGTCGTGCGGAGACGACGTTGGAGTCGTGGGAAGGGGAGGCAAGTGACGAGATATGTGTGGCAGCAGGCGGGAACGTTATCGATATCCAAATGACGGATGCTTGTGGCATTCCACTCCAAATATAGACATAATTTTAGGTAAGCCAATCTAGGTTATGGATCTTTTCGAGTTAAGCGAAACTCGCTGAAAGTGAATCACACCATGCCAAATACAATAACCACGCGTCAAGTTGTGATACCAGAAGCCCTCTGCGGTCAGATTTGGACCTAGACTTGATTCACACTCTTTCACTGACTACAGTTTCAAGTCTCCATAGCAGTGCAGAAAGTAACATAACTTGGAAGCCCGGCACAGGTAGAATCCATGTCATGTCCTAGAACTTGGAAATACTAGCATCAACCGCCATTCATTTCGTATATCTGTTGAAAGTGCGAGGATATAGCGACATTTATGTGTCCTGACCTTTGAACCCATTAAGTCAAATAGTCGTTAACGGCTTTTATTCTGCATAAGATTATGCAGACATGGCAGAATTTTACAATTTCAGCACCACTTGGTATGTATTTCACGTCAAATAGTGCGCCAGATTTTGTGGTGTTGTGTTGATGTGGCAGTCCATGGGAGTCAAACGCTTAGATTTTATTTGTCGATAGCAAACTATTCCCACGACTGCATTTTTGTCAATATTATGCCGTACACTCAGCCTCAAACTCAAAGACTGAATGATACGCTTGACTTCGGTCTCGAACTGGAATTAAATTCATTAGATACGTTGAAAAATCCACTACACTCGGTAAACATACCCTCCTTAGTGAGTTTTGAAATAAACTGGTAAATCTTAAGCAGTAGTAGAGAACATAATTTCAAAACTGAGTCGCAATATCAAAGGTGAACTGAGGAGGGTGTGTCCGCCCAAAACATAGTAAACGTTGCGGCTAGTTGCTAGTACACTACATCATGTCAAGCCTCGTTGGACATGATATGATGTAGTGTAAATTCCCATTTAAAACCCATGGATGTCGTCCACTAGACATGAACGGATTGGGTCCGAGGTCCCTTCGCAACATCTTCAGGGAACGTCGATTCCACGTCTTCTAACTTACAAGCGAAAAAATGACTGTCGTAAACAGCCAGACTGTACCGTGAAATAGTTACGTAGGCTATTTTCGAAAAGAAAAGTTGTGGGCATCCTGTAGGTTGTGTGACGCATGGTCGCGCTGCTCAACACGGTCGCGGTCATGCAAAGGCATTCATTGTTTTAAAAGCACTTAAGATTTGACAAATATTGTGACGCGGTGAGTAATCAATTCGCCGCAAGGGGTGAGGTGGCGCGCCATCTCGTGTTAGCATTACACTCCAATGAGCAGCCCCGTCTGGTCATGGTCAGTTGGAACTAGGAGACCACTCCACCCAGGCATCGGAAGAAATATCGTTTAGTCCAAAGACAGCCCGGAAAACGTCAGTAATGGGTTCTGAATTGGCACCTTATTTGGCACTGATAGCGGTGGCAGCCATCTGTCTGCTACGGCAACTACGTTAATTCATTTCCCCATTATCTTTTCAATCCATCATCATTCCTTTTCCATTCATTTGTCATTTATGGCTTGTTTTTGTTACCCATTCTTGTTATCAGAGAGGCGTTCCACCACAGCTGGATTGTCGGAGTTGGCATCTCGACTACAGTAGATAACAGTCGGTGTGCTCTACCTTGGCGGCCGGCACAGGTCACCGGGGTCACGCGGTGTTCGGTCGAATTTGCCTAGTGTCCAGGACATGCCATTTCGAACCCAGGCCGTGTGAACCACACTTAAGTAAGGAGCAGGCTCATGTCGTGTGTGTTCATATAACATGTGTATATAAAACGGATGTCTGTCCACCAATGCGACTTATCGCTTTTCCCAGCTTCCGAGCTGTTAACGCTTAAAAAAGATGTACTGCACTCAAAACTTGGCCACACCCTAACCTATTAGCGCATATCATATGTCTCTGAACGGCGTTTTCGTTACAGACTATTGATTTGATAACATTGTTGGGGTAAGACGATTACCGGTAGATATTCAGATTATCAGTAGATATTATTATTCAGCGGTAGATAGCCACATGCATGAAAAAGGTAAATTTAGAATCCACGAAATTGCAAAGGTTTTAACAACATTGGTTCAAACTTCCTCTTAATAAAGTTCCTACAATGGCAAGTATTAAATATGCGTGCAAATACGACGGTTTTGATTGCGAAGCATCGAATGTATTCAAAATTTAGTGCGTTCGGCGGCAAGTTCATTCACCCATCCCTGTGACAAATGCGGCATGTGTCGGACGCGACTAGACCCGGCTGCGGTTGGCTTAATCTGACAGGCCGCTCAAACGACGTCTGCGAAAAGCGATTAAGACATTGTAGAACACGTGCCGTAAAGAAGTCAGAACGGTGTAGTTGTGCGTGTCATTAGCCCAGTTAATCTTCCATGTCATTAGCGGCAGTTTTCCGATTCACCCGCCTCTGGCGGGGTGGGTTCGAGTCGCTTCAGGTGCGCGCTATACGTCATGACCGGAATGGCCTGTAGCCGATGACAGCAGCGAACTAAAGATCAGGTAGCGGTAGCGATCAGGCCGGACCATACCGAACATTGTGGCACTTGAAACTTCCGCCGCAAAGTTTTGCCCGCGATCTGGAATTTCCCGATTGGAAGGTAGGGCGAGCACACGCAACAGGTACTGCCTGGGCGAACGCTGCTCGCAGAATTGAATTCAATAAAAAAAGTTCGGACCAGTTGCTATCAGCAGCCTGGGCCACCGCCCCTGACACCCCAGTCCGCTAGTGGCTACTAATTGGGAGGTCATCATCTACCGTTGAGTGCTCTGCATGTACCAAACGTAACCGCAACCGGAGTTCTAGACGGAGAACCTTGAACAGCCTTGAACGATTGGACATGAAATCATCCGAACAGAATGGGACCCAGCCCAGATCATTTCAAGCTAACATAGGCTAACCAAACCAAGCCTGGCCCACCCAGCCCAACTACACGTCCGATATTCTCTAAGTCAAACCCCACATCGCAACTTTTAGGGCACATGCCGATAGGCCTATTTGCTGTAACACATTGAAGAAAGATCAGCCACGCAATTACACCTCGTGTGTGCACTGCGACCACAAAGGTAGGTCAATGATTTTTAAATAGGATAGGAAGGGAACTGAGCGTATTCAAGTTACTTTTAGCCCTAATCATCTTTCATCTGTTTCTTCTTGCTCTTATTTTCATTTGTGTCCGAATCCAGCTTAGGGCTCCAGATTTTAATCACTTCAAACGCTAAAACTGCTGGACCAGAGCCAGAATTTCAAGAAGTTCCTTAAAATTGCTGGACCAGCCCGAGCCCAAGTCCAATCGTCCCCAACATGAGTCCGAGCTCAGCCCCGAGTCCAGCTGGGCTCATCCCCGCCGGGAAGCAAGGCCCAACTCAAGTCTCTTGCAAATTCCAACATGCAGTCACACTCACTTTGAGAGCTTCTCTACGAGCAGTCTTGTCACAGTTCTTCGATGATAAAGAAATTTAGCAAGACGGACACATTACATGTATTATAGTGCTTGCAACTTCCATACAACGGAAATTTTGGTATCATCGCAAAACCGCTTGGGAGCATACTCTCCATTTATCATGTTTTTTAGTCGAGGAAGATTGAACACGTAATTAATCGATGCGCCTGTGAAAATGCTGGCTTGTAGTCCCGTGGACCACTGAAACACAGGAGCTTGCGGCACTATGGTCAATTTTGCGCGCTTTGACGGTTCAGCCATATATCGCCGGGTCACCAGTCCATTCGGACACACCGAAATAAACACAACCGGGCTGGTTGCTCACTAGCAGCACTTGATGGAACGGCATTAACTGGTACACGATGTTCCGGGCTTTTATTGACAATCCATGCCACGTAGCTTAGCCCAATATTCATACCATAAGTTGTGAGACAATATGCGTTGTCTTTTACTCACGTTTCACATTTATCTCTGTTGCAACCACGGAGCAGCGACCAATGACCGGCCGGGCAAAGGAAGGGCATCGGCGAGGGTTATGGGAAATATAAATAGTGCTATGGCCCAAAAGATGGCAGCACCTATCCCAGGCTGTTCCAAAACCGCTGTAAAATTGAACTGTTCACCTGATCAGCATCGCCATAAGCCATGTTGGAGACACCATTTAGAAGTTAGGAAGCAATAGCACAGCCCAGAAATTTAAGATGGATTGATTCAACCCTAGCAATACTATGCGCAGGATCATTCGTGTCACTCGCCAGGATAGCACCAGCACTGGTCTGTCCAGCCCTTTGCTTGCATTTCAATTGAAACACGGACGCCAAGCGGATTTGGCCATGGGGAGTAAATCTACCCATACATGTTCCGATCGGAGCGGTCTCCATCACCTGACTGGGAATCAACAGGCGTCGTCTGACCAACGCCCATGGAGTGGAACCTGACGATCGCCGACACACGATAGGCCGGGCGCAAACACGCCAATCCGTAAAAAAACGACCCACCTACGACCAACTGCAACGACTCTTTGGTAAATATAACACCGCAGCCAAACTGGTCTCACACTTCAAAGCATAAGCCACACTCACACAGACAGAGATTACGTACCGAGCAAAAGCAGAACTGAGCCACTGGGCGTCATCACAATCATGATCGTCATCCATGGCAACACGAAGTAAACTACGTGACGACACCGCAACAAAGAGGGGAAAACGCACAGCACGTTCCGCTACATAAACGGCCTAGACTACGGTGCTAAACCCGCTTGAGGCCAACATCCAGAACTCGACTGCTCGGCGCGGCGCCAGTGTGGGTGAAACGCCATGAAGTGCCAACTGTCACTCACCGACGTTACACGCACTCAGGGCAACCGCCTCCCTCCTCTTACACAGCTCAATCGCAGCTCACCACCAGCGATGCGCGCCACGAGGCGTTCAGACTCCGCTCCTCTTACCCCCGGGCCAAGACACCCCACCGCAAGTGCCACGAGGCGTCCAGACTGTGTTCTCCTAGCCACCCGTTCACGGCACCCCACCCCACGTGCCACGAGGCGTCCAGACTGCGTTCTCCTGGCCACCGGGCTACGACACCACACCACACAACACCTCACCATTTTACAGCAGCGCCCGCGCCTCCTGCCCGGCACGAGGGCCGCCCCGGGTCACACGTCCTCCTACACCACGACCGAGGCAGAGTGCGTGCTCAGCGCCGCAACCGCGCCACTCCAGTCCTGCCTCCTCCGCCGGCGGGGCGGCTCATGCCTGCTCCTCCACCACCACCGAGAGCGGGTCCGGGTCATCGGCGGAGAGCGCCGGCGAGGGGGCGTCGCCCGAGCCGGGCGACTCGTCGGCCTCCACCACCAGCGCCTCGGCGCAGCCCAGCAGGTGCAGGTCGGCAGTCTCGCCCGACTCCTGCTGGCGCGGGGGAGCGGGTCACACACGGCCGCAGCGGGCGGGCGGCGGCGGCGGGGGGAGCGATAGGCGACAGGCATGTCAGCACGCTGCCAGCCCTTCTGAGTCACCAGCGTACACCGCGAAGTGGCCAGGAATCACACACAGCGGGCAGTCATGTTCACAACACTTGTGTCAAGATACTACCTATATGCTGGTAGCATATTTTCACATCCAACCCAACCCATCCCGCCGACTTGTTTGCAGGTTGTCGAACAGGCCTTTGCCTGTTTGACAGCCGGACATAGCCGCGCGCGGGTTTACAACGGGGACCGATCCGCTGCCTTACGAGCACGTCTTCAACCCGCTGACTGCCCCCCCCCCCCCCCCGCTACGCCCTTCTCGGGCCGCGCGGCGAACCTCACCTGCGGCCGGTCGCCGTCGGAGGGCAGCACCAGCACCTGGGCCGTCTCGCCGTTGATCTCGACCGTGCGCACGTCCAGCTCGGTGAGCAGCAGCTGGATGCGCTGCGGGCTGGCCGGGGCGGCCGCCGCCTCGGCGCCCTCCTGCGGCGCACAGGCGGGCGTCAGCAGGGCGCCGGCCGGCGAGCGGGCGGCCGTGCCGGACGCAGTGCCGGACGCTCGGGGAGCCGAGCCGGGCCCAGCCGGAGCGATTCAGGCGTTCGGAGCCGACCTAGCCAGCGGCTACTGGCCTTGTGGCCATTCGAACGACACAGCGAATCGCCCAACAGCCGGGAAGCAGTGAATATATGTCTTGGTATGGGTCATGCCAGTGCTACAAAAGAAGCCAAGAGGACCTGGGCACGGGAAAGACAGGAGCAGTCACAAGAATGGGGAAAGGAGAAGGAGAACGGAGAAAGAGTACATCATCATCATCATCATCAAAGAGTACATCCGCCTCCAGTGCCTGACAGCGCCGCGGGGCCGGCGTCGGCCTCCGGTCGACAACATCAGCAGAAGACACCAGATGCACGGTTACAGCGTGTACAGCAATCGTGCATGAGTTGGATCATCGCGAGTTAGTGGCGCGAGAAAACGGATATTGGACGAAGAGTGAGAGACGTCAGCGAGTCGTCCCTGCACGCTACCCTTCCTTGCCGACAAAGAGGCAGAGCTTTTCCGGTGCCGCTTCAGCAAACCCACTGGCCAGACATTTCATGCGGTTCCACGTTTGCACGTGATGACACCAATTCGCATCCATTTCAAGGTGACGGCACCCCTACGCACCGCAGCTAACATGGCCAAAAATGAGAAAGTTTTCAGATGACAGCATTGGGCGCGCTTCAACTAGCTGGGGACGTCACGCATGGCGCAAGACCTGCTCAACGACCAACACATTCCAGGCACCAGGCACGCGTCACGGTCCCTTCTCCAATGTTCAATGTCAAACAGTCGCGGCGCATGGCTGCACCCGACAGGGGTGCCCGAGTGCAGGGGGCGGATATCGCACCTTTTGCTCCTGAGAAGCCGGGTGCGGAGCGAGCCAGCTGTGTTCGCGCTCCCGGTGCGACTGGAACGTGCTCATGTTGCGGAAGTTCTTGCTGCACACGTCGCACACGATGAAGCTCTGTAGGTGCACCATCTGGTGCTTGTACATGGTGGAGTACTCCGTAAAGCTCTTGTCACAATCCTGCAATTGATGGATCCAGGGCATCAGAAAACAGCGCGCAACACATAAAAATGAAAGCCTCATAACCATGCTATGCAAGCCCCAGTCACGTACTGCACCCAGCAGACTCCCCGGATGGTTAATTGGCCAGCCTAGGAAACTGGAGTCGATAATTCCCAAATGAGCTGTTGGGTTGAACGCACCGGTACATTTCCTGCTGTTTAACACGAGTCTCCCCCGGATGCAATCACAGCACTGCTACCGATGAGATGTACCGATGTACCGATGTTCTCCCCACCCGATGACATGTGCTTTGACCAAAGCCGCTGAGCTGACTGAACCGGCATATGTGACCGACCAAACCTACCACCAAACCCGGACGCACGACCGGTGAACTCGGTGGATTTGACCGACGTCACATTGGAACGTGAGGGGCCGAGCACAAATTTGCGTCTGTGTGTGTGGGGGGGGGGGGGGGGACTATACAGCAAAACGGGGAAAAATCCCAGAAATCCTATAAAAATCCTAGGACTGTTGCACCTACCGGATGCTTGCAGACAAATGGCTTCTCCCCAGTGTGCGTTCTCATGTGGTTCTTGTAGTTCGTCTGGGACGAGAACGCCTTCGAGCAGTTGTCAAATTCGCACACGTAAGGTCTCTCACCTGCGTCGCACAGGGTGAAAGGCAACGTGTTCACAGATTAGATCAACAGACGACATGAAACCACACGGCGAGGGCGGGTCACACATCCCATCACCAGATCCCCGCAGAAACACTGCACAGACAATCAGCACAAACAACACAGCAAAGTGACCTTTCGAAGACGACTGGCCGGACACACTCAAACTTAACGATGTTACGAACAGTCGTTCGTAACATCGTTAAGTAAGTTGTTCGTCCACGCAGCTCGCGACAAGGCACCGAGAAAGGGCGTCCTCCACTACGAACCCACCCGTGTGCGTCCTGACGTGGACCTTCCTGATGTCCAGCGTTGAGAACCTCTTGAAGCAGCCGCGGAAGCTGCAGGCGTACGGCTTGTCGCCTGGCGAGATCACGCGGGCCATCAACACCGAGAACAGTACGCAGGAGTTCTGCCCGCGGCAGACGAAGCGGACGCGATACGTCGAAGGAAAGCGACATGAGTCCCTTGATAACAGCTCGAATCGGGCTCGCGGAGCAAACTCGAGGGTTCCATAGAAAGGCAAAAAAGATACGACCCCTGGACTGTGCCACAGCATGCACTTACTGACAACCGTTCCTCACACTGGCAGCGAAGCTTGTGTGTCATTGGGGCTTTACGACGTACTCAGCTGCTGGGGCTATATGGCGTCGCCTGCCTCTCACCCTGGCAGGAAGGGCGGTCACCGCGGGGAATCGAACACCGTACCTCTGGTTTCCCAGACGCGCAGTGGTTAACGCAGACGCGCAGACCACTACACTACCGGCACCCCGGCAGCGAAGCTTGGAAACGAACAATGGAGCGGCCGATACGAGATTTACGTCCTGTAGCCATTAAGATCACTATACCATTGCATTTAGCAAAGATCGAACGCGAGCCACGACTTCTCCTGTCTCTTTCGCCAGCTACGTACCGAACTAACCTCGAATTTCCAGCATCCCTGACATCCCGTGAGAAAAAACCGCCGGCCATATATACAAATCACCGACATCTTTTGGTGAATCACATTCCACGGTGTTTCAACATTAACAACGCAAGCACGTGTTTCAGTACACCTCACATCCCCTGTCAGCCAGCCAGCCGGTCGAGCTCGCCCCTCCCCCCCCCCCTCCACTGACCTGTGTGAATGCGCGCGTGCCGGCGCAGGTCACTCGACGTCTTGAAGGCCTTAGTGCAGCCCGCCACCGTGCAGCCGTAGGGCCGCTGTCCCGTGTGCGTGCGGCAGTGGGCCGACATGCTGTAGAAGCTGGTGAAGGTGCGGCCGCAGTCGGCCCACTGGCAGGCGTGCGGACGCTCGCCCGAGTGCACCATCGCGTGAGACTGCGGCAGCCGGCCGCCGGTCAGGGAGCGCATGGCAGCGGGCGGGCCGTGGAAGGACGAGCCTTTGCTGAATGTCTCCAACGCGCTCTTCGCGCTTCTTCAATCATTTAAGTATTCAAACAGAACTGAATTTCAACGCTAGAGTTACACATGCATACACCGAAATTTACCCCATAAAGTGCTCTACACCAATGCCACTAAAATAGACACTCAAAACATCCGTGACTTTTTAAATTTTTGTAGCTTTGCATGCATTTTCACCTCCGTAAGCCAAGCGTTACATTAACAGATACGCAAGGCGTCGGAGGCCGCCGCCGGCCGCACTCTCAGCGGCGGGCCGGCGCGCGAGGCCCCCGTGCATGGGACAGCCTCACCTTCAGCGAATGGTATGATAGGAACTTCTTGTCACAGCCTGCAAAATCACAGGAGTGGGACGTGCGCGCCGCCTTCTTCTCCTTGGCCCTTCGTTCCAGTGGCAGGTCCATCACGACACATGTAGTTGGCTGAGGCACCTCCCCAGCCACTTCCGGGTCATCTGAGGCCACAGCTGAGCATGAGTACTGTGTATTACAGGTGCTATGACTTTATTCAGATGGCTCTGGTGGATGTCCTTCCAACCAGGGGTGTACTTTCAATGAACCAGTTGGGGGACTAGGTGATCTACTTGATATGCTATCTAAGCTGTGCCCAAGCCATGCTGTTCTGCAGGCATGAATTTTTTTCATCCAAAGGAGTGACCAACTTCAAAACACTATCATACTGCCTTCCAGCAGCTTCACATGGTCTCCAACTGAGCACTGATGGACACCATCAATAACAAAAGACATGTCAAATACACATGTATGCTCACCTTGCTGCATGCTATCTTCTGTAAGCGGACTGACATCACCCAGCTTCAAATCCTCAACAGTGCCATCACCATGGTCTGTATCTGAAAAAAAATGAATGGAAAGATGTGTGAAACCACAACTTGAGGTGTTCATACAAAAGGCAAAGTGGGATGGCATCATCACTACTTGACTTAACAAGTGCCTTGATGGCCTGTTAAATGGAACACTGCTGGGAGGGGATGGGGTGGGGGTGGGGGGCAATTGGTCCTGATGTCTAAAAAACTAAGAGGCAAAGATACAAAGTTGATGAAATGCATAGAGTCAAATGCACACTCACTGTGTGTCATGTCCAATTTTGAGGCCCATTGGTCACAACTTCTGGGTCAAATAAGGCCAAACAAGGTCCAACTCCAGATAAGTGTCTGAAGTCACCTCAGACCTCCTTATGTGACCACCTTCAATCTAACCACCTCATCTATTTACTTCTTCAAGGCAAAAGGTAACTGATATTACTCTCAGGTCAGTGACATCATTTGACCTTCAGAGGGTCACTGTGACCAAAACCTGCAAAATTGTTTTGATTTCTGAATTTCAATAAGTGCCAAGGATTACACCGGGAAGCATGTTCCTAAAATTCTACGCTAACCTATTCTGACCTTTATAAAGTTCAAACACATTTCTTGATCTCACTGTGATCCAAAATTTTAAATAAGCCCACAGAAAAGTAATCTACAACTGCAACCCTACTCATGTAATTGTCAAATAAAAGTCTCAAAGATGTGCAGCTTCATCTAACACCATGATGTCATATCACATTGGATAATTCTCAAGAAATGGCTGCTGCTGATAGCCATAGCCTGACTCTGACTAGCCAAAGCTCAGTGACCTTACAAGCTAAAGGACATTTGTTTAATGCTGAAGGATGAACTGGACAAGCTGGAGCAGTGTGAAATAACCCTATAGCTTTAATTATCACACATAGCTGCTCAGGCCATCTGCATCCCAAGATATCTTCTTTTCTAACAATCAGATTTATTATCTTAAATTTTTTACAAACTATACTGGTTAAAAAACATACAGCTTAACCAGCCATGAGAGCAATGCTGTTGTAATAAAAAACTTACCTGATGCAGATGGCTGACAGAGTTCAACAAGCTTATGGGATTTATTATATTTTTTCCCAATATTTGTGGTTTTCTCATGTTTCCTATAAATGTATAGTGGAATACTTATCCTCACAGTCACAGATGACAAATGACTACTACCAAAAAAGCTCTACAGATACATCTAAAATGAAAACATCATTTGCACTGAATTAGAAGAAACATTTGGACCAGAAGTCATCAGCCACCAAGTGTGTATAAATGCCAGATCATACATGAATGTCACAACTGTGTTCTCAAGAGAGACATTGAGTTTTTTGTGGTGGTGAAATGATGCTATAAACTGAGATGAACAAACCATAAGAAAATTAAAAAAAACACTGAGAATGTTGCTAAAATGACTTCTGTAATTTGGCATGTCATCTCATAAAGTTGTCATTAAGTTATAGTTGTTAGGGATGCAGGCAAATTGTACAAAACACAAAAAAACACTTTGGGTGTGACAAATGCCCTGTATGTTCAACTTTTAACATGCAAGTCACAAGGTCACACCCACTATTTGCTGCAAATTTTCAGAACAGTACCAAGGTGCATAGTTTCAAAAAACTATTTACTAGGCAACTACAAGTCATGGAACACCAGTGGCATATGGAACTAGTGGAATCATTGAAAACTTGGTCAAACATTGATCAGATAAAAATCAATAGAAAAGAGTGATAGAATTCCATCTCATAAAAGCCCCTGTGAAATTAAATAGTGATTGCAGTCCTGTGGACAGAGTATAGGAGCTTGTTTGAAATTACGTTCATAACAGCATTGACCCCATTAATTTTCCCCACACAAGCAAAGGCTAATAACTGCAAATGAACTAGTTCATTACCGTGCGCTGATGCCAATTACTTGTTTACCAAGCAAAATATCTGTCCGCCGCAA